ATCATTTATCTCTAAGACATAAATTGTTCCACGCAATATTCTTATTATACTTATTCAGCAATTGCCTTGTGCCAGACACTGCACAAAGCAACTTCACTTGAATTTGCTCATTTAATTCCCATAATCACCTATTAACCACATGTCATTACTCACCTCCGATGTAAAGATAAAGAAACTGAACCTTGGATCTTGAGAAACTTGCCCGAGTTCACACAGCTGTGATTGTCACAGACAAGGACTTGAGCCCTGGCAATCTGGCCATAGAGACCTACTTTTAATCACTGCTACATCTTATAATTTATAAAGTAGTGTCTCATGTATCCTCATGTTGATCGTCACAACAGTTGTGTAAGGAGTAGATATTATTATGTCCAGTTTACAAGACTTCAGGAGGGTGAAGAATTAGTTCAGGTTTATAAAGGTAAAATGCTTTCTAGTCTATTCTCTGAGACTCAATATCTGCCATATTTAAAGCCATTAAAGTACTTTCAGGTTAATGGATGAGTTGAAGACTACATTTTCTCATAAGCGCTAAGCTGAAAGTGGTAAACTGTAACTGAGCATCTAGAACACTGTGGGAGAAAGTAGAGGTTAACGCCAACAGTTGTAATCCTGCTTTAGTTAAAAACATTTTGTGCCCTTACTCAAAATCCCTCTAGTTGATCTCCATCTGCCTAAAACAGAAAAGGTCATCCTTGACTCTGGCTAGGGAAGAAGCACACAGGGACTCTTCCTATCAGTTTCTTTTGCTTTCTTTCATGCCTGAAATCTTGCTATAAATATTGAAAAAGTATCTTGAGTTTATAAACTATATTTTTAAGCAAAGTGGAGTGCAAGTGAAATGCAGAAGACCCAGAGTACAGCCAGATGGTTATAGTTTCATAATAATCACTGTGAAATGAAAATAAGCCCAGTGATAGAGCCAAAGAGGGAAAAACTCAATGTTGTAACTATTGGCCAAATCCTTCTTTCCCTCCCACATACATTGAGATCAGTAGAACTAATAAGGCTGAACAGATGTTTTTCTTCCTACAATTTTGGATTCCAAGAAAATTGTATATGTTTTTTGTAAGAAATTAATAAGGTTTCTATTTTTTTTATTATTATTATTTAGTTTCACAACATTGAGACAGACTAGGAAGTGAAGGATTAAAAACAAAGAGAATTTGTGTTCATCCAGTCATTGGGGGTAAATAGACACATGAGCATCTTATACTGTGTCAGGCAATGTGTGCAAAAGATGGACTTCAAGAAAAACAGTAGAAAGAAATATGAAGAAAATATGCTTGGCATTCTTTTAAAATACCCAAGTTACAATGACTTATGAATGAGTAGAACTCTTGATCCTTTGACTGGAACCAAATTTCTTTATTTTCTATCCAGCACCATAACAAAGTACTGATTACCTCCTTGATGAGCAGTTTCCAAATTGGTGTGATTTCAACATCAATAGTATTAGGCCCACATATTAGCCTCCTATAGAGAGAGATCACAGATCACTCAGGTACTAATAATCAAAATGAAACTCATTTTTTGCCCATTCAAAAAAAGATCTAGTCCATGTTCACTTTCTCACTTGTGGGGTCAACATAACACCCCCGTGCTTCTCAAAATAACTGGGGAAGTTCCCAGGTACAAAACAATAAATATGATCTTATTGCATTATAGAACTAGGCTCTTTCTGAGGTCTAAATATTCCCCTCATGATCATTTGGATATTTAATATTAGCAATTGTCTCATTCAAGTGTTCCAAAATTGTCGTTCTCTCATTTCTGATTCTCCCCAACTCTGGCTCCATAGAAGTGGGAAGAAGAAGGGGAATAGGAGAGAGTAGTTTTCTGTACCTACCTTTCTACTCCAATTCTGGGAAGCTGCAAAATCTGTTTCAATGTGAGTGAAAAGGTGTTGGGTTCTCAAAAATAGCTCTACACATAGAGTGATACTGCCCTTTAATTGAAAACCCAGAGATAGGTTTCTTTGATAATGTACAGCAATGACCTTTTCTGAGTTATTTTGCTGCTGAGAACACTATCCACTCTCTCTGTGCCTTCTACATAGATGTTCAGATCAAATAGCTTGGCCCAATGTATTGAGAGCAGTGCTTCTCAAACCTTTAATACAGATAATCACACATAATCTTGTGATTTTGTTAATATGAAGACTATTATTCAATAGGGGTGAGGTGTGGTCTAAGATTGCATTTCTAACAAACTCTCAGGTGGTGCTGATGCTGCAAGGCTCTTGGTCTCCTCAAAGTACTAGAAATAGGGTACAAGAGAGTGAGAATCACAGAAACTTAGAACCAGTAATGCCTTTATAGAGTTCTCCTTTCTTTTTTAACCATTAGGAAACTAAAGTCCAGAAAGGGGAAGTTACTTGCTCAAATCCACACAGTGAATTAGTGACAAACTCTTGACATTCAATTCAGTGGCTTTCCTAAAACTTGCTCCTCTGATTTAGAATAGTGGATCTACAGGTCTTGTCCAATATTCTTCTGCTGCTCCACAATTATTATTTGACTCTGTTATCACAGTATAATATACATTCCCTGATTACAATCAAAACTGGCTCAACCTTATTATTATAATAGCCTTGAAAAGCCTTGTGTAAAGTGGAAAGAGCATCAAACTTACAGGCAGAAATGTGAGACTCAGTTCTTTCTCTATTATTTCCCATCTGTGTGACCTTGTCCTGGCCTTTAAACCTCTCTGAGTCTCAGATTTCTCATCTGTTATATTGGAACAAAGAAGGTGTCTGTTCTACCTCTCCCACAAGGTTATTCTGATGAAGTGAGATAATTTATGTGAAAGCAATTACTTTAATAATACTATAGAGTGCATTGCAATGTTTTCTGATATTGAACTATAATAGTTAAGATGACTATTAACTGGGCTCTCTATTTGGCTAACTGGTAAGGATCCATTGAGGTGGTGTAGATAACAATGTGCATGGTACCTAATCTCTTGTTCTTCTCTTGTCAGACCTGATCCAAATTTTAGATGTATCTTGGCAGAACTGAGCCAGTCTTCCAAAGAACTAAAATAATAATAAGAAAGACATATTTAGCCATAATACTCTTGAGATCATTTTTTTTTCCTTTGGCTGCAATTGCTGAAACAACTTACCCAATTTTCTGGAACTGTCCTTCTAAGTTGTTCCAAACATATCTTATTTTCTGCACTTTTATGCTTCTCACCTACAAAAGAAAAGTACAAAGTCTCTAGTTTGAAGATCAGCAAATATACAACAGTTCAGTAGCTAAAGAAGCATTTGTGGAAGAAGTAAAGATACAGCCCTACTATACTTATTTAAGATGTGATTTTTTCCTAACTTACCCTATTCTTTCCTAGTACACAAATGGCATTCTTTCGTAGAAGTCACCATTCAATCAACTTGTATCATGGGCTTACTACATGGATAAGTATATGAATAAAACTCAGTCTCTGTATTCCGCTACTTTATAACCTAACAAGGAAAGAAAACATGTTGCAAAAAAAGAAACTATACAATACAGTCAAATATGTACATGTCAAAGAAATTAAAATATAGTGAAGTTAAAAATATATTATTGAAATGCTGTAGAAATACAGAGAGGGCAGATGACAGAAGGAATCATGGAAAAGATGACATCTGAACAACAGCCTTGAAGGACTGGAATACTTTTGCTCAGATGAGAAGGGAAGAGGGCTTTTCAAGGAAATTACACAAAAGTTAATTGTGGGGGAGGAGCAAGTGAGTGGGCCTGTTTGAAGAATGGAGAACAAGACTGGAAAGGTAAATAAGGATCAGATTATACTACCTTAAATGCTAGGATGCGGTATTTAGTACTTTCTCTTGTAGGCAATGACTTAGCAGAGTAACCTATAAAAGAGACACTGAAAAAGATTAGGCTGGCAGCAGGTACTAGAAGAGAGCGAAGACATTATTGCAAGAAAATGTGCTCTAGAAAGTGAGGGACTGAGGGTAGTGGCAATGGAAAGAAAAAGAAAAGTTAATGCTTATGACAATTATGCCTTCTTGTTTCTGATTTCCTTAAGCAATGGTTATAAACTCATTTTGCCCATTGGAATCAACTGGAGAGCTTTAAAAAAATACGTATGCCTGGGTCCTACCACCAAGAGATTCTGATTTCATTGGTCTGGGGTGCAGCCTGGGCATAAATATTTTTAAATTTCAAATAATTCTAATGTGCAACCAAAGTTGAGAAACAGTAGCCAACACTTCATTTTATAGCTACTCTGATAATTTTGTCCTTGAGAAATTAAACTAAATTTCTCTGCACCTCAGTTTCTCCATGAATAGAATGAGGCAATTGGCCAGATTATTTCTAAGTTCCACTGCAAGTCCTCTAAATATGTTCCCTACCTATAAATAATCAGTATAACCATGAGATAAACACTAAAACTGGGCAGAGCAGATAGCTGATACATAATAAGTGCTCAATACATTTTTTTTTAAATGAAAGACTGCCCTGTACAACCAGATGTCAACTAGAAATAGAGTTTAAATCCTTCAGCTCCAAGACTTGGGTTGCCTCATATGAATCTTAACCCTGTTCAAGAAATATATGTGTGTGTATACAGTGTGCGCACGCACGTGCACACACACACACACACACACACACACCAATTTACCAAATAAGTGTTAAATGCTGAATTTTTTTTTATTTTACAGAATGGATTTATTTCAATGAGGTTGTTTGCATAATAACTTTTATAAAATAAATTCTATTTTCTAATTGATTTTCAGTATAAAGTTAGAGTTTATTGCCAGTAGGAATGATTCTTCCTCCTTCACAAGCTGCAAGTTAGAGTGAGGAAGAGTGTTTATATGAAAGTAACCAACCTGGGGTGTTAGCTGTCAGGGCCCATCTTGGAAACTCAAGTTTCTTGCTCATATCTTCCTTTTCTTTCCAGTATTCCCAACGATTTCACACATAGAACTGGACTGTAATCACAGCTACTGTTTACTGAGTACTTGGGAGATTTTTACACTTTTCCTTTAGTCTTTTTCATCATCTTGTGGTAGGACAAATATTATTTTCAACTTCACCTCACCCCCAAAGTTTATTTTGACTAAGTAACTTGCCCAAGATTGCACCTATTAAGAAGCAGGGCTGGAATTCAAATTCAAGCTCATCTGGCCCCAAAGTCCAGTCTTTCAAAAGATCTAATAATCAAGCCAGTCTCAAAAGAAGATCCAAAAATCCCATAACTTCCAGGATTTACATTGTATAAAGGGAGGGTTTCCTACTTTATTAAGGCTATAAGTTCAAAATCCATGTTGGAAAATTTTTAAAGGACAAATGATGGTAGACTGTGAGGCACCTGCTGAGTTAGAGAACCTAAATCAAGAGGCTATGAAACCACAAACTGAGGTTGAGAAATGTATAAACCATAATAGACACAAAATATCAGCAGAGAATAATGAGGAATAAAGAGGTTACTGGTAAGTCTGACCTCAGGCCAGAAAATGGAAAATTCCATTAACTCCTGACAATTTCTGAGGCCATTCCTTATGGAGTAAGAATGACTTTGACATAGACCTTTAAAATACCTTTGAGATTCTCCTAGCAGGAAAGATCTCTGTCTCAAGTTTCTCTGCTTCCCTCATCACCTTCAGTGGCTCTAGAAACTGGTAAGAGGACACTAAGCAAAATATTTGCAAGGGGTGGAGTTTATTTGTCAATTTTCTGTAATTTCAGACAAGGAAACTGTAATTACAAAATCAGGATCGCTGTAGGGGAAATTTCATCTTTCTGATCAGAACCAGGAAGCTTCCTCCTCCCCAGGCTTTCCGCTTTTCATTTCTTACTGGAACATGTTGTAAAAGCATCCTGTTTACAGGTTAAGCACTGGGTTAGTACTGCATGCAAGTCTACAAGATGGTTCTTAGAATCTCCTCTTAGCCTGTATTTGCAAACTTGACAATGTTTTTGCTGAAGTCTCCAAACTCCCCCAAGTGGCCCTGAATGATTATCATTTTGATATTGTTATTGTTATTGTCATCAGTGTTGTTGGGGCTGATCCTCTGATGCCTCCTAGAATTTTAATGAAAGTTTTAGTCCTTTGTGAATATAGCTCATTATAGTTCACAAATCATCTTAATATCCATCTTCTCATTGTAGGTTCAAACAGCCCTGAGAAACAGGCAGAGATGCAGTTATTAATCTAATTTTATAATAAGAAACTCAATGTTCAGAGAGGCAGTAGCCAGCTCCCTATGCCATATGCTAGTAAATGAAGATATCTAGCCTAGGTGCCAGAACATTCCACTTCAAGACCACTGCCCCTTCTTCACATTTTGTTTGTTTGGTTGAGCATTTCTTTATTTATCCACTTATTTGTTTGATGCAATTAAAGATGCTGCAGGTTAATAATATTCTGAGGCCATGTCCATAAGGTGATGTGAGATGCCTACTTCTCCAGGTGAATGGCCACCTAACAGATTAAACAATCTGTTAGTTGGCAGTGCTTGACCTCTGGTTTTTGTTTGTTTTTGTGTAATTAAAATAATTGAGTGATAACAATTGGCAATACAGAAACTGTTTAACAATTGACTGTTATTATTTTTAATTGACCTTGAACTCATAAAACTAATTTTAAAAGCTGTCTACACACACACACACACACACACATATAAATTTATGAGACAATAGTCTGTCTTATTAAACCTGTTTTTAACATGAATGTTAACTAATCATAATCCAAGTAGTACTCATTCAATATGAAGAGGAGGAAGTACCTCAAATACATTTGAATGACAGATTCAAAATAAGGTCATCTTGCAGGCATAGCCAACTCCCTGGGATATTCCTGGGTGGTTACCTTTACTGTAAGATAAACCCTGTTACATAGATTACAATACAGGTCATGATGCTATGAAGAGCTAATATGTATGAGCATCTACTATATATCTGGCACCATATTAATGTTTGTATTCCATAGTTTATTAAATTTCAACCATTAATATGAGGCAGGCATGATCATCATTGTGCACATGAGAAGCCTGAGGCTTAGCAGAGTTTAGTAATTAATCCAAGGTGGTCATCAAGATTTCACATAGCTATTTATAACAGTCTACACTGTAAATTGAGGATTGGCACAGTGGAGGACCTGAATTTAACCTTATATTTTTTGAGAAAAAGATTAAATTTCTCTTAGCATCAGCAGTAGCCATGAATGTACTTACCTTTAAGTCTGGCTTTCTTATGGCTCTATTTATGATATACTCCTCATCTGCAAGGAGAGGGTGGTCAGGAGTGAGACCAAATGCGCTGTTTAATGCTGACAGGTGGATCCACGTTATCTTTTTCCGAGAATAAGTTTGGAATTCATCCTGAAGAAATAGACACCAAAACCCCAGTGAAATTAAGAGAAGTCGTCAGGCTAAAATTCAACCTGAAAAACATTATTTTAATATAATTCTATAAGTTTACAGAATTAATAAATATTCTAGGCAGAATTATATACCTTTGAAAGCTAGTAGATACAGAACCTTGAGGGAAAAAGTCATGTTGTCACTTATTGAGGAATCAGGATGTGGATACAAGGCACTGTCACACACAGCAAAGCTCGAGAGTTGAGAGGTGAATTCTCAGGTAAGCGCTAGTTTACCCTCCAAACATGGGGCTATAGCCAGATGCAAACTTTCACAGAAAAAAAAATAATAAGCAAGTACAGTAAAACCTTGGAATGTGAGTACCTTGGTTTGTGAGTGTTCTGCAAGATGAGCAAACATTTCTGATACATTTGAACATGGTCAACAAGTGATGTCTTGCAATACAAGTAGTTTGTTTCCAGAATGAATTATGCTCGCAAACCAAGGTATACCTGTATTCCAAAGCCTTTTTTGAAGGCGAGGAAACCAAGTCAACTAAACCACCCCCGTGTTTCCAGGCTTTACAACTTAACTTCAATTCCACCTCTGCCAGAACAGCTCCTTTAATACCCTCTCAAGGTATCACTATGTTAACTTCAAAAGATTCCTACTGTCCCTCTCTTGTGCTCCTAATCACTTCCTGGCTTGTATCTTAGTTCCTCTAGACTATCTTGAAGATAGAGAACTTTATATCTCATCTATGGGACAATTGCAACCTGCTCGGTGAGAGTCTGATGAATGATGGAAAAAAGACTGAATGTATGGACTGAACATGGCCAAAGGTAATTGTCAAGATTTTAGCACAGGTTGGATTAAAGAAGGTGCCTTCTTCCATGACCCTAACTGAAGCTGCTTCCCTTTGCAGTTCACTGATGACTTTGTCGCAGGATAAAACTACAGGGAACAGCACTAGATTAACAGGTGCCACAGTGGCCCCCTAGAGACTCATGTGATTGCAATAGTTATTATCTAAATAAGTAAATGATATATATAAAACCCATTTGGATGCCTGGATGACAGGTGAAATCAAACCTGGGAAATAATTTGATGCCTGAGGAACACAGATCAGAGCTGGGAATTGTCTCCACCACATTCACTTTTGCATAGTGTGTGAGCTGACTGCAAAAGGCAAAGAGAAGATATAGTAGTAGTTGTAGCTAAATGTCTTACATCAATTCTCAAGAGAAACCCACCTCTATGCCTTTGCTCCTCCTGCTTCCTTAGCCTGGAATCCATGTCCTGCTTTCCTCCCTTTTAAGTCTCCATATGGCTAAATCCTATGCATCCTTCAGGATCTGATTCAGAGTTTCTACCCTGGGAATCTCCCTGATTTCTCTGGGGGAACCTTTGCCCTAAACCATCAGGGTAGGGGGATTCTAACCACATTCTACCCCCATTGCATTACCCTTCACCTTAGGACTCCTCTCGGACTGTGAGTGGGGACTGTGTCTGAAGCATGTCTGTGCTCCAGCCAGGCCTAGCACAGATTGTGTGTGTGTGTGTGTGTGTGTGTGTGTGTGTGTGTGTGTGTGTGTGTGAGTGAAGGGGGGAGGGGGAGAGGTGGGAGGGGGAAGGAAAGCAAAGCAAAGGAAGTGGAAAGGGGAGGGGGAAAGGGAGGAAAAGAGTGAAGGAAAGGAAGGAGAGGAGCAGGAAGAAGAGGGAGGAAGGGAGGAGGGAAAAGACCCTGGTAGAAATGTGAAAGTTAACAAATTAATTTTAAAAACCAGTAAAATTTGCCATCACCTCATTATAAAATAAGATAACTAAATCAAATCAAATCAAATTTGCATGGTATTACCTTCTAAGCCTAAGAATGACTGAAGATGGCTAAGTTTCCAATGACTGAGTAGCTGAACGGGTGGACGTGTGCTAGGTGTTGTGGAATGGGCCACCTTGACATAGGTCAACATTATAGACCTTTGCCTTTGACCACATCAAAGGGGCTTTGTTGTGAGAAGAACTTTTAGTTTCTAATAGTAACAATAGCAAAAATACTTACCATTTATTTAGCACTTACTATGTCCTAGGCACATAATGCTACATATGTATTATTTCATTTAATGCTCAAAAACCCTAGGAAGTGGTTGTTCTTCAGTATCCTCATTCTACTGGTGAGAAAACTAAGACACAGTCGGTAACTATGAGAGCAAGGATTTGATCCCCCACGCCATGCCATTTGCCCCACTCCAGAGTCTCCGCTTATCCTCTGCTGTATTCTACAACTTGATTGGACTGCCATTTTCATATCCAGCCCGAACTGGGACTGCCAAAGAACAAAGTTTCAATGAAAAACTTGTTACAAAAACACAATTCTAGGTAAATAAGAATACAAATTATAAAAGTGCCATCAAGCCCAGAGAATCTCTTGCCATCCAGTGAGGGCAACGAGGAAGACAGCTACTCTTGGTCCTCTTAAGTGAAGTAAAATAATATTAATTACTAATTTTTTATGATTATTAGCATTTTATTAAAAACTTCTTGTGTCAGTTATTTTAGGCTCAATTCTCCAAAATCAGTATTATTATCTCCATTTTGCAGATGAGAAAACTCTCCATCAGCAAGATTAACAAGTGTTCAAGCCAGCCTGGTATGGTTAGCAAGGGCAAAACTGGGATCTGAGGCCAGGCCCTCCCCTTCCAATCTTGGCTCCTTCAGCTCGTTTCAATAAGTTGTCCATGGTGTTTGTAGCTCATGTATGAAAATCACCTGGAATTCTGTACTATGTAACAAATATAATACCGTCCAATTCTCAGAATCTCTGCTATCTTGGCAATAGAGACTCTGACTCCCTAAATCAAGCTGTCACCTGTTCGCCTTGAGTGATGGCAAACAGACCTCTAGATTGTAATGCCTAAAAATGGAAAGGCAAAGAGGAGTATTGAACTCCCAAGCTCTCATAAGCCAGTATTCATCCAATGCACCAACTGCATGCCTTAATCTAGGTGAGTATTAAAGACGGAAATTCATCACTATGCCTACATTTGATTATAGCCTATAGCATAACTAAATCGAAGGTGCTGGATATGTTTGCCTTAAGCTCATTTCCTGTCATCCCTTTGACCCCTGAGCCCTAGAACTCATAATTCTGTGTAATGAAAAGTAGAATTCTACAGACTAAATAAAGGTGCCACATGAGGCAACCATGGTTCTTAGAGTAAGGTAGTAATACTGACTTTTTTCTTGCTTACTACCCTATTAAAAACTGTAAAATCATTCATATTTTTAAAGAAATTCCCCCAGCTTTTTAAGAAAAAGAAAAAACAAAGGCAAAGAAAAGGAGGGAAAATGTGTCAAGTGTGTCAATGTGAAGTGGGCACCCCAGGTAGCATCATCAGCTTCTCTCAGGTTTCGATTTGGTGTTGTCCAGGGTAGAAAGAGCACAGCCCCTTCCTGAGTCCAAATCTCAGCTCCAGTTTTTTAAATCATTGCGACTCTCTAAGCCTATTTTTTTTAACCTGGCAAATGGGGGTGATAACACCACATTGTATGGATGTTTGAAGGATGAAGCACAATAATACATGATGCACCTGGTCCAAGGTCTGGCCCATAGCAGGGGGCAACAAACGCTAGTTGGGAACAACTTTGTGCCTCATTTTTCACAGCAGTTGTTCCTAAGATCTTCCTGTAAATAAGAACTTACTTTCCCTTGGAGGAAACTTTAGAATCTCTGAGAGTATCTCTATTTGTTTTTGCTTTCTGGAAAAGAAGCATCTTTACCTGGAAATGGCTATCTCCACCTCCTTCGGTTTCCCAGCTCTCTCAAGCAGTTAAGGATCTGTAAAATACTTACATGCACAAGGGGAGCTACCATTTTAAATAATTTCTTTGTAATACAAATAATCCAAACGTTTGCCCGGTCACCCTAGACTTTTAACACCTCATGTCTCACTCAGCATGTTTACTTCCTCTTTATCAAGAGAATTAACTAGGTCAATCCTTGAACTCTGACAGAGTAGGATTTAAAATAATTCAAGAGTGCATTTCAAAGAACTGAATGTACACAGAGGACTTATGTTTGACCTGGACAGAAAGATAAAAAAGAAAACCTGGGCATTTTTTATTTCCTGGGGCTTTGCACTTCCTGAACCTGGAAATGACAGACTAACTTTTATATTTGAGTGAAGTGAGTGACCTTGCTTATCTTCTCCCAACCCTCATCTCTTGGAATTTAAAAGCAGTGCCATGGTCACTTTAAGTTCAGGCCAATGCTGTGACTTATCCTCCTGTGTAGGAGTTCACTCCACACAAATGTACTTCTGAGCTTGCTTTAGAAAAAAGTAGCCCATGGCAAAGTTCCAAAGAAATCTTAGAAAACCAGGACTTTTCACTTGGAGATGGAAACGTTGCAATGCTAAAAAGTTGAACTCTACCTGAGGTGACGTGCTTAGAGAATTATGGATAAAGTAGTAACTTATATTTCTTGGGCTCTTTTTAAAACACTGTGCTACCTTCACAGACCCATAACTTTAGCAAAATACTATTCTTTCTGTATTTAATTATCACTTTTTTTCTTTCTTTTTCCCCCTCTTGACCGGATCCATTGATACTCTAGACCAGCGGTTCTCAACCTTTCACAGGGGTCACCTAAGACCATCGGAAAACACATATTTTCGATGGTCTTAGGAACCGAGACACCACTCCTCTATCCGTCTCCAGACCCACATGCAGATACGCCCACATACGAGTACCCAGTGACCCCTGTGAAAGGGTCATTCGACCCCAAAGAGGTCGCGACCCACATGTTGAGAACCGCTGCTCTAGACGCCTTGGCCTCATAGTCCCAAAGCTTCTTAGCTGGAAAAAATTGACATTGGCTACAACATAGGATTAGTTATAAAATATACAGAGAAAATTCCAAGCATTGGAAAAACAAATCTAATTATTTTCTCAGTACTCATGGGACATGTTGACCCAAAAAAAAGTTGAAAAAAGGTGATCCAGGAGGTTGGCCAACTCAG